GTTGTTGTTGTCGTTGTTGTTGTTGTTGTTGTTGTTGTTGTTGTTGTTGTTGTTGTTGTCGTTGTTGTCGTTGTTGTCGTTGTTGTTGCGACACCTAAAAGAAACAAGGTTCCAGTAAATTCAACACTTCAAGAAACATGTAAATCACACCTTGTATCGAGCTCGTTTCCACACTTGAAACTGACGTGGTTTCTTGATCTACAGTTGAAAAACATGTTCGAATAAGTTCTAAGAAAAAAAAGTCACATAGGTTCATCTATTTTATTCCACAAAAGATGCATATCTTACGAGGATCGTTTTTATAACAAATAACAGTTGCAGAAGTATTTTCCGATGATTTTATTGAATCTGTGTTACAAACGTCTGCAAACATTGAACAAATATTTTCATTTTTGAAATGAACTGCTGTTTGACAATAATACTCATTAACACATGTACGAATACATTCGTCAATTGATGAGTGATTTGGTAATGAATTGTTAGCAATAAAAGAACAAGAAATATTCGATCGATAAATCGATTTTCGATAAAGTTCAACGGTTACAAGAGCATTTATCATAGGAAAAAGTAAATAAATCAAAATCATATACATGTTTTATTTGATGTTGTTCTAATGAAATGTTCACTCGATTTTAAAAGAGACTTTTTCTCGTAAAATACGTATGTCAACATTTGCATTCTCATTTGTGTAGAAAAGTCAATAAGATAATATTGGATAAAATTCTTTGATCAAACATACTAGACTTTTTCTCACAAGTTAGTTGACTATGAAAAACTATGAATATTAAAAAGACAAATATTAGTAATATGGGACTTTTATTTTAAAATATTTATTTTTTCAACAAACGGCATCTTATTGACAGAGTAATGACGTCAAAAAACATTTCACTACACTTTAGCGGACGACAGTTTTGTTCAGTAATGTCTCCTCTCTTTTCTTCAAAATTCTATTTAGGCAAACATACAAAAACAAATCAAATATGAATAAAAACTTGTTGTAATTTTATGTAACATAAATAAATTCAGAATTTTTTGCTCAACAAAATCAGCAAATCTGCTTAGATTTTTTATATAAGATAATTCTACACCGCCCTCCCAAATCGCAAAATTCATCTGTTTACTCGAAAAATGTTTGCTACACTTCCCTATGTTAGTTCACTCACACCACCTCTGAGTATAGATACTGTATTCACCCAGTACTCACACTCATACTCTAGTGTATGTAAAATTATATGTCTGAAAATGATAGACAATGAATATAAAATAACTTTCATATTTTGATTTCGTTTTCTATTTATTAATCTTCTTCTCTTAATAAGGTAACTGTAAAGTCACCGTTTAACGTGCTTGTTACCTCATTATGTTTTTATCTTTTGTTTAACAATAAAAATAACAACAACAAAAAGAAGAATCAAATTAATTTGTCGTCTTTATGAAATCTATTTGATTCGAAATTAAATATGACGATTATAATGAGATGATATTGTCGATGATCATTCAAGAAAGAAATAGTTACCAGCCTGTTTTTGCTCCGTATCCTATACAAAGAAAAAAATAAAATAAAATAATTACCAAAAGAAAGATAAATTTACTTTAACAGATTCTTTTTTATTAATACGTGGTCGAGCATTTTCAGGATCTCGTCGAAATGTTATTTCAAGTTGTTTCAAAAATGAATTCATACCAGATACAAGTGCTTGAGGTCTACAAACATACAAAACAAATTTCTTTAAATAACTAAAAATTTTCATGATGTTCATACTCGGAAGCATGAGCATCAACTGATGGTTGTCCATCAAAGACGATAACACGATCGGCCAAATATGTCGCCATAATAAAATCATGTTCAACAACAAAACCTGTTTTCTTAGAATGAAGAATAAATCTATTAGAAAAATAAAAATTTATTCTATGGTTTTTTTCTCTTTAAATATAATCTAATTATAATACCGTTTAATAACACGTGCAGCATGTAAACGTTGTTCAGAATCTAGATAAGCTGATGGTTCATCAATTAAATAAACATCAGCTGGTTTTCCCAAACAGAGACAGAGAGCAACACGTTGCAATTCACCACCGGATATTTTTTGTACCTAAAATAATACGTTTTTTTTACAATAAATAATTGACTTTCTATCTAATTTACCTCTTGATCAATAATATTATCGATTAGAAGTGGTCGAGATACATCCGTTTGAAATTGTGGATGAAAAATAGATTCACGAATTTTTGAATTGAGTAAATCACGAACTGTACCAGTAAATTTTGGACTAATCTTTTGTGGTTTATAGGATATATTTAATTGAGGAATTTCGACTGAATATGAAGAGATAAATAAAGTTTTTATTAAAACAAATAAACGAACCTCCTTCGTCAGGTTCTAAGTTTCCGGCTAACATTCGAATTAAAGTTGTTTTTCCTGAAAAAAATAAACAAAAAAAATATTTCTATGATCATTTTTTCTTTTTCATTTTTACCAGTTCCATTTTCTCCAAGTAAAACAATGATTTCCGATTCTGTAAATGAACCTTCATCAACTGATAATTTAAAATCACCTAA